GTTAGCAAAAGTTAACTTCTGGGACTACGAATTGCCTCTTTGGCGTCTCCCTTTTTTTCGAGTTATTAAAATGGATTGGTTTTCCTTCGTCTTGTTGCGCGGAAGGGATTTTTTTCGAGGGGGGCGCGCGCTAAAAAGATTTATGCGGAATGCAACAATTTGCCGAAATCCCTCCGGTGTCATTTCTCAGCCATTCTCATCATAACGATTCTTAACGTTTAAAAAGCGCTGCAATTTATCCCCTCATCCGTAGTTAACATGGTTTAATGTTGGCAACTCCTTTGTGCGCCACAAAAAAGTTCGCGTTGGTAATTAAGCGCCCATCAATATTCATGGAATTGCGGCGTACATTTAAATTCGTCACATTTTTATCTGTCGCTCGTCTTTTGCGATTAGAAGAGTTTAAAACGTAACGGAGACGTATCGCGATGTTGTAAATTACAATCGCACCTACAATTTAATTACGTTAATTTAAAATTCACTTTCGGCTGTCGGTTTAAAAGGATTTTCTTTGCTCGGAAATTTTAGATGAAATTAAGTTAGTCCTCCCGTCAGGCCACCTACACCCAATTAAATGATAACGAAACTCATTAAGTGCTAATGCAATTTAAGTTTCCAATGAAATTTTAGCGGTTTTGATTGTACGAAGTGGAGATCCCGCGAATCTCACTTTTTCAAAGGGTTGAAGATACTCAGACAGTCGAAATAGGTCTGGTTCATTCGATACATGTACCTACGGTAACTGAATACTCAATTGACATTTTGTGTAGGTACAGATTTTAAGGTAACGGATCAACTTATTGGGAATATTTCGGAATCTTGCGTTCTTTCTCCAACACTTCTCCTCGAGATGTGAACATTGGATAATTTCACTTCTTGCTCCTTTGAATTCTCGAAAGCTCAAGACAATGTGATGGTTTGGTCAATACGTCCCTTCTCTCAAGCCCCACCGGTAGGCGTCAATTGTAACGTAGTTACAAGATTTAAACTGATGCTGTACTATACTGGTACTAACCCCCTTCTGATGATTTGGGGTAATCCAGTAATATATTAATCAAATTAAAATTTAGTATGGGTTCGATTGCCCAAGTTTATATTATCTTGGCAATAACTATGTTGAAAATTTAATAATCTTAGTCCTCACATTCCGTACTTAAATGGGAGAAGCTTCAAACACTGAAAATTTAATAATAAAATAATTCCCACTAGTTTACAATTAACTTCCCTTAGTTACGTCATATTAATAAATAGAAGCGTTACTTGCTCATTGAAAATGTACCGGGTGAGTCAACGATTGCGCGGAGTAACTTAATGCCTTGAAGATAAGATTTTATCGATAAAGTGCTTTTGTATTATGATATGGTTGAATATTCTCCACATTTAAAAAATATTTGGAATTATACAGGGTGCGCCTACAAAGTAGGGCGCCAAAATGGTACATTTTTTAAAATAGAACCCCCTGTATTTGAATGCATTTTTGAATTCTACGTGTAATTGTACGTCTCTTTTATTATATGTTAATATCCGAAAAGCTAGTAGTTTTAAAGATAATTCGATTTTTAAGAAAAATTGGGCCTTTGCAAGCGTCAGTATATATTGTCAAAATTATTACTTAAAGTTTGATTCCAGGTTTTATATCTTTTATCCTGGGTTAAGTAAAAGTCAAATAAATACATCTAATTAATAGATCTAATTAATAAATCACATAAATACATCTACTATAAAACATTAAAAAAATAGCTTACAGGGTGATTTTTTTCTAGATCCAAAGTTACAAAACTTCATATTAAAAAATCTCACTTTTTTTTAAATTCAACTTTTGATAATAATGTCCTATAGCTATCTCTGATAGTTCTCGAAATATCTTGGTTTTCCTGGTTTGTATATTCTAATCTTAAATAAGTTATATGCAATTTACATAATGCAATGCAAAAAAAGGCAATTTTTATCTGCCTCGTTCAAAGCTAAAATCATATTTATTAATTCATTTTTCTAATAATCCATTTAAGTCTAAAAACTGGAGAATAAATTTGATAGTAAAAACATAAACAAATATCTTGGTTTTTCTACTTTTTGTATTTTAATCTTTAATAAGTTCTAATTTACATAATAACGAGATGAATATGAAAAAAATTAAACTAATATCACTGACTGGATGACATTAGGAGTTAAATTAAATTTGCTTTGTAGTCAAATGTTTTTACTTATTCTCCAGTTTTTGGACTTTTGGACTTGGATACAGGGGGTTCTATTTAAAAAAATTACCATTTGGGCGCCCTACTTTGTGGCCGCACCCTGTATAATTCCAAATATTTTTAAAATGTGGAGAATATTCAACCATATCATAATACAAAAGCACGCTATCGAAAAATCTTATCTTCAAGGCTGTTACTTCGCGCAATCGTCGACTCGCCCTATACATATTATGGAAATGAGTCAAAAATGTTATGTGTAGGTATACTATAACAAATAAACAGGTTTTTGCCATAAGGCGAGTGGCTTTAGACCATTTTCCATGCACTGACCAGTACTTCCCAAAAGGTCATAGCTATATGAGCTACGTTTTTCCGAGAAGTGTCTATGGTTAAAATTTCAAACAAATCTTCATAAACAAGGAAGTTGGTACTGCGCAGCATGCGCATGCGCACATCCAATGTTTCAAAATGGGATATGTTTGTGTTTAACAGAAACATCTGTGATTAAAATGTCAAATAAGACAGTTGATATTGTGCGTCCTTTGCTAGAAATATCTGTGGTTAGAAATTCAACAAAATATTTTAATAAATAAGAAAGTTGATATTGTGTAGTCTGCGCATGCGCACTTTAATCATCCAGATTTTCCTGGCTCACGTGCCAGAGCTATAAGCTACTGAATTCAGAAAGAACGAACTAAATATATTGAAAGCTAGTAGTTAAGGCCTCGGATGGACGGGCAGACGAACGCTGCAATAGCGCACTCAACTTCTTTGGAAAATGCGCTAAAAATGTGGAAATATGTATGGATACTAGATAGACAATTTTCTGTAAAAAAAAATAGATACTTTACCACATTCACTTTTTCCGATTTGGCAAGAATAGTAGAAAAAGAAAAACTGAACTATTCTCATTAAATCTCACAAACAACGTGATCGCGTTTTAATAACAGAATAGGTGAGAGAAGGCGAAATTTAAATTTTTGCCAAGAACGTCAGGAATGAGCGATGATCGGAACGAATAGCCTAATGGACTTTTTAAACAAATTTTCAATTTATTAAAACGCAGGCCCCTTCTGCTTTGCGCCAGATTCGTTACTCAACTCTTTTTTTTTGGGTTAAAATTCACATTAATCTGTCGAGTTTACACTTGACGCACAACAATTTCGCAATAAGGAAAAGGAAAAACGCAGTTGAGAAATGTTGGCTTCTGGCCAAAGTGCGCTGACACTTGATCCACCTGTTCTACGAAATTAAGGTACGACGACGTTTTCAAGTGCAAGAGAGCGATGTTGGGATTAATTAAAACTCCTCTGCGCCCCAAAAAGTTTCACGAAATTTGTTCAAACAACCCCATTTACGTTCAGAATGTATTACATAATTTTTTGCTTTTTAATTAATTTTACATTTCAAGATCTCTAAGAAGTTTACATGTATAAATCCCTAAAAAAGAATATTTCAACAAGAGACAGGTATAAACGTAATCCCATCCTTGACATTCATCTAAATCGCTTCCATTTGTTCGCGATCGAATCAGTGCATAAACAACGATTTTTCGTGTTCCATAAAACAATTAAGTTAACATCTCTAAAATTGTATAGTAGTTAAATGTTCTGAATCAACTCCCAGAGGAGTTGGTATGAAAAGTACCAAGTGGTAAAGGGGAGGTTTATCTCCTGACATTATACGCTTTCATTTGACACCATACAGGTGCTACGATAACGACGGACAGACAGAGGGACAAAATTCAGGCATGGAGCATTTTTTTCCTAATCTGTACGAAATGTGCTAAAGTTTTTCAAGATTTCTTTTCCTGAAAAATCTAAAAATATCTAAGAAAATATTATGTAAAAATTTAATGTATTGGTAAAATGTTTACAAAATGCGTAAAGACCCCAAAGGCATTTTCAGAAAACTATTTCTAAGACATCGTCTGGAAATATTTTCACAAGGCTTCTAAAGAAATTTCTAAAACCCGATTTACACGCGAATTGCGGAGAAATTGGATATTTCTGAAACCACGAGTGTAAATAGGGGAACAGTCAAATTTTGAAAAAACGAAATCGTTAAAGTTAAGGGTATAACATGTTACATAAAAAAATAAGTGCTCTTCAAGTACTTTCCAATTTTTCAATAAAATTTGGGGTGTTAAAAAATCGAAAGTTGATACGCCTCTGGATTGCAGTACGCCATTGGTAATCAAAAATATTTTAGAAACATGGCGACGGTAATCTTGTACAATTTTACTGCTTTGCTGTTAGATATATTTTATCGCAAAAGGATCATAAACCGAGGGGTCTTAGATGCCGCACCCTGTGTATCAATCAACTACACCAAATATTTGTTCGAGCTGATTTTTTATTGGACCAAATCACAAATGAACTACTTTATGCACTTTATGAGTGCCATTTCATGCCGTTTCGTGCTCATTCAGAAATGTTGAGCAGTCTGGGAGTCGCTGGGATTTACGTCTGGGACAAGCACTATAAAATTGCGGCTATTTCTTTTTCGATAGAAAAGTTAAAGAAGTTCCATTTTTGCACTAAAGGCCTCAGACTTTTTCTGGAAATGAAAAGGGGGAGGGGTTAAAGTTTTTTTTTTACACAAATTTCCTGGAAAATGGTAAAATTTCTCCGATAGATATTCTCGCACGATTAGGGCATTTTGCGCAGGTGCTCCATTCTGTTGAAACCAACAGTTTCCAACTTTTGGTTTTTTGTGTGTTTATAAAAAAATAAAGTTGACGATGATTTCAAAAACTGGAAATGAGAAAGTGCTTTCTATTTTGTTGGATCTGCTCAAATAACATCAGAATAACCGAAATTTCGGTTTTTTTAGCATATCTTCGTAAGTAACGGAATTTTCTCGTTCCCTTTAAAACATGATAATAACTCTTTAATTGCGTTTTTTTCTCTAATTTGACCATCGTCGTATCCTTTATGCTTTCGGAGATCCCAATGATAGAACGTCCTTATCTTGTACACCGTGTATATATGCCGAATGGCTGAAAAAAATTAAACGAAAATTTGGAACTTATGGAGGTGTAATTCTCAAATAAAACATTTTGATCAAATATTTTTTGGACACCCTGTACATTTAGGAATAGAGAGAGTTGGTCCCCGGTGTTTTATATTAAATACGTAAGACCGAATAGTGAAACTCGTCTCCAAAAACTGAGTTTCCGTTTCCAGAACAAGAGAGTGCTGCTCTACCAATCTAATCCACTATGACTTGGTCACCCTAAGCGACCTGTACATTTATCTAGCGTCGCATTGGCCCTATCTTTCCTTTTATTCATAATATCAGGACACAATAGCAGCGGAGTGAATCGGCAATTGTATATCGACTCTCGCTAATGATGAATTACGACCAATTTCTAATAAGCGAGTGGTATAAAATTGCCCAATGATTCACGGCCCATTAAATAATCGACAAAAGCGAGTAGTAAAACTGAAAACGACCGATAAGGGTTCGATATGCTAATATCGTTTGCAGGAGGTGCCGACGTCGCGCGTTTACAATTCTCAGATCTGTTTTGTGCCGAACTTCCACAATAACAGCGAAAACGGGCGGTTAAAAATGTTCAAAGTGCGCGAACTTGTGCGTCATTCGCTATGTATCACCAACATATGGAAAGCTTAGAGGAGGTTGCCGCTCGAGAGCAAGCAGAGAAGCAACAGAGTCTTCGCGAACTTGAGGATCTTTACGAGTGGTTGCAGCAGTTCGAGGACCCTCCACCTGCGCCGAGGCCCCCGCCGCCGCATCAATTTAGAAATGGTTTGTAACGATTTTCTATCTACTTAATTTTGATGTAGTACATTTATCGCCATGACAACCCGAAGAGAGATCTCTAAACTGTTTGCGGTAAAGTGAACCATTGTCTTTTGACGATGTAGTTTTCCGCGACTCGCCCAGCGAATAAATATGAATGAGGGCGCTTTTCCATTTTGCATGCCGGCGTAAATCAAAAACTGATACCCATATTTTTATGGAAATTCGCCTAAAATTCGATTCGAGCGTCTGTCTGGTTGCATTTCTCGCGTTTTAGATTCCGAGTTGCTTTAGTATTGGAACATAAATATAGATAGTCTCGAAAATTACCTTTTGTCGTATTTTTATTAGTCTCGTGTGCACAAAGAAATCCCTGAAAAGTTCGGGAAGTCGAAGATTTCAGTTCAGTGACTGGGATCAATGAATGGCGAAGTTTCAAAGAATGGACCATTCGCATTTGAGATTGCAGACGACCACTGCCTTGAAAAATGACTGCATCGGAACCCCGAAATTAACCTACCAAATTGTCCAGTTTGTAACTTCAATTCTTACAGCGAGCTTTGTAAAACAGCGGTCCATTTTGGAATGTTAATTATAAAATAATTTTAGTAATTGAAAATCACTAACTGTTTTAGGGTCAGTACTTACATACTCGGTAGTCGTTGGGTAAGTTTAATTGTCATTTTTTACGTATACGTATACATTGTCGCTGACTTTTTTCTTTCACTCTATAAAGTATGATGAGAATATCTACAACAATTTATTTACAAGTATGTAATGATCTTAGGAGTCCCCCGAACCGACACTGCTACCTTGACTTATCGTATAATTACAGTTGTTGGAACTATATGAGGTACTCCCTTCACGAAATAAACGGTTAGTCAAATATACAGGGCAACATCACACTGAGAATCTACTTTGGATCGTGAACACGTAAATAAATAGTTAATCAAACAATATAAAGGCAATCACCTGTACAGTAATAACAAACAAACATGATTCAGGTACTCATAAAAGAAAGCTTGGAACACGCCATGCTTCAATATCAAATATCAGCATTTTATCCAAAAGGTGAATACTAAAGATGTAAGCTGTGTTGCCTAACCGTAGGGGTATGTCACTACAAGTATATACACAAAAACACATAGCGTGAGTATCGCAGACAGGTAGCTTGATGATTCCCTTTTGCGAGTTTATCCTGAAATAACCACCGACCCCCGTAACACCCAGCAGCTGTGGCAGATAGGACCGGTATTGTAGGTAACCGAGAAAGTTCAAGGGAAAAACGTACAGACGCGGATAGATTAGGGGATTTGGACGGCGTTGTGATTAATGACGGTGAGTGGGTGATGGTATTGAGGTTCTAAAAGTATTGTGTTTGGGAATTATAAAATAGAACAAAGAAATTTCGGAAAGTTGGTCACTAAAATGTCGCCACAACACGTTTCACGTCTATAAGTTTAGTAGTTACATTTTTAAATTGAGAGACCTCGATCGACTTGCAAAGAATTTATTACACCACTTTTAAAAATAATTTTAGTAATTGAAAATCACTAACTGTTTTAGGGTCAGTACTTACATACTCGGTAGTCGTTGGGTAAGTTTAATTGTCATTTTTTACGTATACGTATACATTGTCGCTGACTTTTTTCTTTCACTCTATAAAGTATGATGAGAATATCTACAACAATTTATTTACAAGTATGTAATGATCTTAGGAGTCCCCCGAACCGACACTGCTACCTTGACTTATCGTATAATTACAGTTGTTGGAACTATATGAGGTACTCCCTTCACGAAATAAACGGTTAGTCAAATATACAGGGCAACATCACACTGAGAATCTACTTTGGATCGTGAACACGTAAATAAATAGTTAATCAAACAATATAAAGGCAATCACCTGTACAGTAATAACAAACAAACATGATTCAGGTACTCATAAAAGAAAGCTTGGAACACGCCATGCTTCAATATCAAATATCAGCATTTTATCCAAAAGGTGAATACTAAAGATGTAAGCTGTGTTGCCTAACCGTAGGGGTATGTCACTACAAGTATATACACAAAAACACATAGCGTGAGTATCGCAGACAGGTAGCTTGATGATTCCCTTTTGCGAGTTTATCCTGAAATAACCACCGACCCCCGTAACACCCAGCAGCTGTGGCAGATAGGACCGGTATTGTAGGTAACCGAGAAAGTTCAAGGGAAAAACGTACAGACGCGGATAGATTAGGGGATTTGGACGGCGTTGTGATTAATGACGGTGAGTGGGTGATGGTATTGAGGTTCTAAAAGATATTGGGCCGTATGAATAAAAGTAAGCAAATGCTTATACTTGCAAAATTCAAAGTAAATACTCGTAACTGCCCCTTCATGCTGGTCTGTTTAGCAGCACTGCACTGCGTCCTGTCCTGCTGCTCAGCAGCGCTGCTAAGTCGCCCAGTGGGAAGGAGCACTTACGAGTATTTACTTTGAATTTTGCAAGTATAAACATTTGCTTACTTACGAGTTTTATTCATACGGCCCATTGTGTTTGGGAATTATAAAATAGAACAAAGAATTTGGTATTTCGGAAAGTTGGTCACTAAAATGTCGCCACAACACGTTTCACGTCTATAAGTTTACACATTTACGTAGTTACCATTTCTTAAATTGAGAGACCTCGATCGACTTGCAAAGAATTTATTACACCACTTTTGAACACCTGAAATAAATCTTGGCACGAATAGAAAAAAAATCTGACATGAAAACTCTAAACTGGGTCGCACAATGAATTCGAATACACACACAATTAATTGATTGGCTAACAAAAATTTATTCCTAAATGAAACAAAATTAAAACAACATTTCTGAAGCAAAAAAATCTCACAAAGCTTGTTTTGACAATTACCCCGCACGCAAGTGGTCGACAAACAAATATATAAAAAATCTTAAATTAGTTACAGTTTTTTTACATACATACATAATCCTTCCTCTTCTACCTTACGGTGTCGAGGTATACGGTGTGTAACGACCTCTTCATCCCACATAGCAGACTTATATACATTGCATAACATGCACATTCCACGTGGAATTTTGTATATCCATAGAATGTGGAAAAGTATGTCGCAAATGTCCGATGTATGTGCATGGGATATAAGTTTGGCAGACTTCACATAATACATAGTACCTATATACGTTTTGGATGTCTTATGTATATGCATATACAGGGTGACAATTTGAAAACTTACCACCCCCTCTATCTTAGTAAATAAACGAGATATTTAAAAAAATCAAAATCCGTTTCGGTAATTCGGAGGGGGAATCACAATGACATAGTTGGCGACGCACCCCCTCCAACCCCCTGCGCCCTAGCCACCCCAACTTTTAAATCTTAAATAGGGACTCCCCATGTGTGATACGTCATTGGAAAGCTCTGAAAAAATGCTTTCCAACCATACCAAATAGCATTACATTTAGGTTAGTAATTATTGTGCAAATCAAAAAATAAACATGGAAAATCGTATTTAACTTGAACTTCCAAAGCCGACTCGACAGCAACTCATTTTTGATGGCCAGTTCTAATCTATTCTCAAACTCTTGTCGAACCTTTTCAAATGTTGGTTTTGCAATATTTTGACATTCTTGAATTATTATCTGTCTTGGTTCGTCTATGTTCGCCGGTTGCGTTTTAAATACGACAGATTTCAAATGTATCATATTAGTTTATTTTTTTATTTGCACGATAATTACTAACCTAAATGTAATACTATTTGGTATGGTTGGAAAGCATTTTTTCAGAGCTTTCGAACGACGTATCACACATGGGGGGTCGCTATTTAAGATTTAAAAGTTGGGGTGGCTGGGGCGCAGGGGGTTGGAGGGGGTGCGTCGCCAACTATGTCATTGTGATTCCCCCTCCGAATTACCGAAACGGATTTTGATATTTTTAAATATCTCGTTTATTTACTAAGATATGGGGGGTGGTAAGTTTTCAAATTGTCACCCTGTATATGCATCGGACATGCTGTGTATATTGGTATACTGACATCTACTGGATATACCATGAACATACATTCAGGAAGTTTACTAGCATCTATACCTACGTAAATAAATTCTTTTCACTGACTTATTATTGTTGTATTTAACACGGTAGTCTTGACTTGAGTCATCTTGATCGTGTTCTTGTTCAACACTATAATAGCGCGAGTTCATAACAAATAGGTTGCTAACATACCTGCCAGTCTTGTCCTTATATTAATTCCCATCCAGTCTTTACATCTCACTAAACATATTTGCAACTTTAGGTCATGCACACACGAAATAAAAATCATTACTTTCATTAGAATTAGATAAACAAACTCATTAATAACTCGCGGAATAACACTTCTGATTTTAGAAAAATGAATAACACGTTACTATCTTCATCGCCGTAATTCACAGAAAATGAGACGCTAACGTTTGTAACGTCGGTAATACAGAAAACGCATGTATCAAATCCAAAACGTATATACATAGAAGATCCTCGTGAGAAGGTATAAGATTTATACATAAAAGATACATACAATGTGTGTGCCTAAACATCCATAGCACATCCAAAATGTATATTTATAGAATATCCATACTGGACATAAAGTATATATGTCTGTAATGAATATACATAGTATATACATAAGATGGACAGGATATTCCCAGTACATTATGGATTTAAAGTGTATATACATAAGATATCGAATGCTATGTGGGTATGCATCTCGATTTACCGCCAATTGTTCCGCCGCTCTCCAATTCATTCCCCGTGCAATCAGGGCCTTTCCTACCTCCCCATTCCATGTTCTAGCAGGTCTGCCTCTCTTGCGCTTTTTATCAACCCCTATTTTCTATATTTGTTTATATTTTAACAAATACAGTTTTTTTTAATAATCCAAATATTCTGGTACACAAACACACTCGCTGACAGCTTCAGGAAACTTCACTGTTTTTATTAACCTGGATTTTGGTACATAAGATGAGACATTTTC